AGAGGCAGCTCCTTATAGATCTGGGAATGGGGAGCTAGAGTTCACCTTAGATACACCAGTGTTGTTAAGCCAAACAGCATGGCACAGTATGGCTAATATCCAGATGGATAAAACCAGTTGTACTTGGCCATACTGGTTACCATGAGCAGCTGGTGCTGTTCTCTGAGCCAATCCTGGGCACTGTCTGACACTGACAGTGCCAGTTGTCCCAGCTCAAAGTTCTTCCAGGGAACATAAGAGGTAAAGAGTGTGGACAACTGGAAGTTGGTGTCTGAACCTCATTGAATTGAATAATATAGATATTAACATCACATCTGACCTGGCTTTGGCATCACATCCCTTGTCTTGGCTGAGCAAATCACTCAGGTAGTGCTTACATCACATCTGACCTGGCTTTGGCATCGCATCCCTTGTCTTGGCTAAGCAAATCACTCAGGTAGTGCTCTGACAAACTTCTGTTAGGTGGCATATCATCAACATATCCCTTGGTCAAACCTTCAAATGCCAATCCAAGTGCTCCAAGGGCTGAGACACGTTCACCTCTCTCTGCAGAGAACATGATCCGTTACACAGGGAGCCCTGACAGCCTCCGCTCTCGCACCCCCATGATCACCCCTGACCTGGAGAGTGGAGTCAAGATGTGGCACTTGGTGAAGAACCATGAGCATGGTGACCAGAAGGAGGGTGACAGGGGCAGCAAGATGGTTTCAGAGATCTACCTGACAAGACTTCTTGCCACCAAGGTATGTGGTGGGGATGGGGAAGAGAGTGAGAAATGGCTGCAGTGGGACTTGTTGGAACAGCTCAAAGGGTGCCAAAGGGGGATTAAAAAGAGAGGAAAAGAAGGAAAACAAAGCAAGGGTGCTCCAAGCACATAGGCCAGGAGATTGAACTTAGAACAGATATTGGAGAGCTGGTGGAGAAGATCAGCACAGGGGGAGGTACTGGGATTGTTGGTTATACTGGTTTGTAGTTTGTACTAGAATTGAGCAAATGAAGAGCCAGGGAGAAAATGTGCTCATGGTTCCAAGGATGTATCAGGCCTCACAGCCTGCAATGAGTTCCAATGCCACAATGAGTTTTGTGCTACAAATCCTTCTCCACCTTTCCCCTTGGCCCATAAAGACTTTTGTGCTGGGGGTTAAGGTGACTGTGATGTAGCTAATGGCTGAGCAGCTCCAAGGAGGGTAAGCAGAGTTAGATGCCCATCCCCATGAAGACATGGAAAGCTCAGGATCTCCAAAGAGAAAGTACAGATTCATTTAGGTCAAAGTAGAGCAGGAACATCCTCACCTGAATCTCCAGACACATCTGGAGTTCTGACTCTTATTGGTTTTTATCAGGGTGTGAATAGACACAAAAACAATTCCATGTGTTCTCACTGGCTGAACTTGCCCATCAGACACATCTCCAGCCCTTGCTGAAGTCCTGCTGTAGAGTTTTCCCTGCACATCTGTTCTTCAGCTCATTTTGCCTCTGCTGTGTGACTCTCCCTGCAGCCTCTCTCAGGCTGCTGACACTGCAGTGGCACTTGGAGATGATGTGGCTTTGTCTTTAGCCCCTGGCACATGCCTTCATTCCCTGGCATCAAAATGCTTTCCTGGATCACACAATGTAGAAAGCAAATGATGCTCCCCAGGGCTCAGGCCCCAGCTGGTGTACACCAGCAGGCACTGGACCAGTGCTGATTTACTCTCTCTGGGGATGTGGCCCCTACCCGTCACTGCTTCTGCTTACTGTTCTGGGTCACAAATTCACCACTTGGGTTGTTGTTGGGTTGGCTTTTTTATGGAGTGGCAGGAAAGCAGCTGCAAAACTTGCACAGCCAGAGAAAGAGTGGGAAGGTTGAGGGTTTATTGTTTCCTCTGTTGGGCTGAGCAAT